CCCGCTTCGACCCCGAAACGTCGGCGATGCGTTTTGCGCCATTCGCTCCTTATACTCCATAATCGAGTCCAAGAGGCATTTAAAATCAACGATCATCGAGATTCGGGCCGTATCGGACGATTTAAAAAATCAACAAGGGTTGGTGGGGCGACATCGGAAGAGATAAAACAAAGATGATACGGAGGTAGGGCAGTGCTTTTTCAATTTACACGAGACGATCCTGACGAGAGACTATTTTCTCTCGGGGGCAGGGGAGTGAGAGGTCTTTCGTTCAGCCGAGCTCGGCTTCGTCGATCCTATACTCGTGCTATACGGGGGGGGGGGGGGGGAAAGAGCGTCGTCAGTGTCAGTCAAATTGACTCCTATAGCTGGCGTGCCCGCTCACACGTGTCTCTCCCGTGAGCGAAAACTCTTGCTACCCCCCCCCCCCCGTTTTTCTGTAAAAAAACGAAATCACGAGGATTCCGTCGCGAAATTGACTGCTCCGGCACCGGTGCGCGCGAAAGAGGGCGAGTATTATTCGCGTGCGCGTAGGAAGCGAGCATTGGGTAATAGAAACGTCGCGTGACACACGATCTGCTCCTTCTCGCTACACGTGTATGTATATAATATACTGCACACACATGCATCTTTATATATGTGTACCCCAAGGGGTTGCGCTCGACGACGTCTACGGTAGTGCGTGCGCGGGGGGAAAGGCCAGCAAAGCCCTGCAGAAACGGTAAAATGCCAGAAACAGCGAAGTAGGTCCCGAATTAAGTTTGCCGATCTTCTCTGCTTCCTCTTCTGGTTTTCCAGCGCATATGTATAAGTACACGCCACGTGTATCATCATCATCATCATCATCATCACGTGTACATATATTACGTGTGTTTCGGAGTGGGTGAGGTCGTGGTAAAACGCGGCGGGCTCTATAATATTGTGTGCAACGCGCGCTCGCGCGAATAAGTAGGTAAACATCGTCGCAGACGCTCTCTCGGGCTTGTAATCCCTGGCTCGCGTCTTTGTAAGTACAGGAGGGGGTTGCTCTGCGAAATTCTCGAGAAAATTGCTCCCCCCCCCCCTGCCCCGGTACGGTGATCTTCCTTTCTTGCCGAGCAACGCGCGGTATGTATAGTCGAGACACGAGATTTTAGGTGTCGTCTCTATGTAGGCCGTGTGGTTACAAGGCCGCGGAAAACGGTATGCGTCAAAGAGGATGCACCGAGGATCTTGCATTTCCAACCCCCTCGTGAACTGAAGGCATATATACGTATATCCGTACGCAAAAAAGGAGATGAATGAATGGGGCTTTTTGGATTTCGTTTTTTTTTTATAGGTATATATACTTGATGGGAATCACATGGACTTTGGTACCATGACTGACTGTATAGCTTTGATGGTAGGCATACATTTTTCCCGCGATTTCTTTGATTATGATAACTCAGTGGAAGAGAGAATGGCGAGCCTCTTTGTTTTCCTCTGGAATCGCGTATCCGCTATCGATTCCAGGTCACCAGTGGCGAAATTATGAATTCTCGGGGAAGGTGTACAGAGCAGTGGCGGGGGGGGGGGGGGTGGCAAAAAGTTTCGTTGGCGCGCGTTTTACGACGTCCGTCGACGAGAGGGGGAAACTTGACGATATCGCCCGGGCGAGTTTACGGGGGCGCTGATGCGCCATCCTATTACGGATGTAAATCTCGTTTCCACGGCGGACGCGATAATTTGCATTCCCAGCGTTTGCCCCGGCCGGTCCCTCTTTATATTTTTCTTTACGCGACAACTCTTCGCTTTCCTCACCCCCCCCCCCACACCCTCTCAAAACGCTTCTTCTTTCGCTCTGCTACTTTGCTCGTTTTTTTTTTTTTTTTTTTTTTTTGTTACGCCCCTCGTTGCGCAGCGAATATATCCGATGCTTTTGTTTCGACGCTCGGTGAATCCCCGGAATTCCTAGGAGCAAACTTTTCACCAAACATTCCTCGCCAACTCCGCGGCAAGGCTTTTAATTTTTTTTCTGTTCTTTTTTTTTTTCAACGGAAGAGCCGAAACGTACAAACAGAAGTAATTTTTCAATACATTTTTCCTTCACCCGCGCGTACATGGGTAATATTGGAATTCCAGCTGGATCTACTACGAGCAAAAGCAGTTATGGGGACAAACGCGAATGCGAATGGATATGTGCGGTATTTCAAATCACTTTAAAGGTCCCCCTCTCGTATATGGTCGAATCCATCATCGTAGCCGCTCCAAGCCCATTATCGACCATTTCGTCACCTCCGGGACAACTCTTTCCTCGGGAAAAATCACCCGGGCCGATAAATCCACCGCAATGCCATACTCGTGCGTGCACAAAGGGGGGGGGGAACAGCATAAATCGCGGCCAAGCGCGAGACGTACGTATAATATGTGTTCGCGTACGCGAGCTCGAGGATTAATAGAGCTGAAAGAAAAGACGCGCGGCACGTGAAGGGGGGTGGGGGGGCCGAGGCGTTATGAAGTAGAGTCGGTCTCCGCGCGAAGGGACACGTCCGGGCTGATGGGGGAAACGCCTCACGCGGGGCACACGAAGGGTTCAACTGACGCGAGTAGTCACTCCTCGGCTACTCGACTTTTATTTCAACTGCACCCCCGGAGTGCTCCCGCACTTTAACCCGTAAATCACAAGGAGTGCAGGTCCTTGGACGTGCGCCGCCTCCTCGAGCGATCTGTCCCCAACTCGTGTTTTCTCTTGATTTACTCGCTATACTTGCAACAACTGCACTTTGTGCGACCACCTCGAGCTTTCAATACATAAACGCCCCCGCAACGAGTCAAAATTAAAAAAAAAAAAAAAAGCGCAGTCACGGTCAAGTATATAGGCGCATACACGTTTCACACCGCACTCGATCGTTTACGTGTGTAACTTTAGGGCGCTGCTTTTATATATGTGTACAGCTATCACGCAAAACAGCCGCAACACGAACATACATATATATGGCTGCGGGTTAATAGAGTCCCCTGCGAATTTTCATCGCCACGGGCGTGGTGGGTGATGCCTCGCGACGCCAGCGAATTAATTATACTCGGGCGAGAGTTTTTTTTAACGGGGGGTCTCTCCCGCGCAACGACGGGATGAAAAATTATTATACGCCCTTTGGGGGAGAGAACGGCCATTGTGGTGGTTAACCATTGTTGTAACGGAGCATAAATCCGTAGCGCGGCGTGCACTGCAACGGAGGGGACGGAGCAAAAAAAAAAATGACGGGCAGTTTACAATTGGACGGGTCGGGCGATCGAGAGAGGAGTGTTTGCGCGGAAAAACCAAAAGGCGCGTTTATGGGCAAACAGATTTCAATTTACATTGGAATTGCTCGCACGTCAATCTCTCGAATACATGTAGGCACGAATCAGATGGAGCCATCGAGAGGGACGTTGTTTTTTTTTTCCCCCTTTTTCCCAATGTACCTGCACGCGAGTGTACGAGGAAGGAGACGATCAAGAGAGAGCCAAATGAGGTGTGGAGACGATGCGAGTTTCGGGCATTCCATCGGTACAGACAGTGTATACGTGACCTCGCGGTACAGGACGCGCGAAAAAAATACTTGTACGCGAGTTGGCTCCGGTAAATTGAATGGCCGCGCGATTAGACGGACTCCCCGTGAAAGTCGCTTCTTCGCCCGTACGTGTACATAGATATAGGCCAAAGTGGGTAAACGCGGTGGTACATATTATATAATACAGGCATCAGGCAGGCAAGCGCGCACACCTGCATGTATATATAATTATATATAGGGACGGCCGACGCGGCTCCTTATCGCTCGGCGCGTCCAATGCATAAAGCATAAAGTTCGTATCTCATGCATAAATTCATACGGCAGAGAGTCATAACTTATGGCGGTGCTCTACTATATCCTCCCTGTGCTTGTTCGCGGCAGCTAGTATCGAAATCGTCGACGCTTGACTGAAAAGCACGTGAAAAGGAAAACCCTCGCTCTCGTACACCTACACGTATATATAAATATATATGTATACACAGCGTAGAGAGAGAGAGAGGGATGAGGATTATTCGGAAGCTAGGTATGGCTTTTCCGACGAATGTGGAAATTCCATTTTGCCAAAGGGGGGACCGCGCCATATTATATACACACGGGGAAATCCATTTCGGGCCCACTCTGAAAAATCGTCCAATTATACGAGGGCCGCGTTCCCCGCTCCCTCGATAATTCATATATTTTTCAATCCATCCCCCTCCGGCCCTGGATGCACATTATTATTGTTACGTATACGCATAAACCGTGTGCCCAAACTCTATGCTGGTGTGTACATATACAGTGACGATTATGACGTCGGGCGGGAGCCCATCGAGGGTGTATCGAACTACGGGTGATTGATCGAGACTCCTGATGGATGAGGATACGAGCGCAGTCACAGTGAATTTCTACGAGAAACGTTGATCGGCCCCTCCCCCATATTTATGATTTCTTTTTTTTTTTTTTTTTTTTGCAACCCCCCACCCCTTCTATTTCTCTTCGCGAGCTAGAGCTAGTAAGCAGATTCATCACTCGCTCGCGAATGCATAACGCGGCCCCCCTCACTCGTGTATTTTTCATCCCGATGATGCGCGTCTCCGACGGAGTCTCGACTGCCTTTTTTATTTTCGAGGAATTGCCGATGGTTCGTCTCGCGCGGAAGCAGTTACTTTTGCCATTTTGACGCTAAATAATTCCGATTGCCTCCGGGGCGGGATGTGGAAATATCGCATCTTCGAACGGTGGGGACATTTGAAAAATCTCGAATCGGAAGAAGAGCGGGTGGGACTTTTACAATTGAATTCCCGCGGCGCGATGATAGCTCATCCGGGAAAAGTTGAAAACTCCCCCAGCACTAGATTCACGGGACTCGGCCCGAAAGTTGTAACGCACGCGCCATTAGGCCATAAGCGCTTGAACCGAGTATTCTTATCTGTTTCAGATCGGAAGGAAGAGGGGCCCAGCCCCTGGTGTACTGTACAAGAGCGGCCAAGGGGATAAGAAGCTAATCTCATGGCAGCGCGCAAGCTCGGCGCCCCGGTACCGCTGCTCCTGCTTCTACGGCTCGGCTTGTGTGAGTATACTGATTTTCGTCGAGCACAAAGCACTTTTGCTCCGCCATGTACACGCGCTATCGCTTTCGTTAACTCGACCTCTACAAATCGTCTTTCGACGCGTACACGGCGGAGCGACATTGCTCGAGTACACGTCAATATGCGACGCCTGCGACCTGTTGATTTATGGAAAAAAAAAAAAATTTAACAAGCATGTGGCCATGAAAATAAAAATGAATCTCGAAATGTGCCATTTCGCTTGTTGGGGCGTAAAAATTACAATTCATTATGCATCGGTGCTATCCTCTGTTTTCTAAAACATTTCAATCTCCAAGAAATCCGAAAAACGTATGGACACACGAGATTCATGACTTTTACAAAACGAAAATCCCAAAGTATAAATAAGGGCGTCAAAGGTGTGTATAAAAAGCAAACTCGCGATGAGGCCGAAAAAAACACCTCATGTATACCTACTCGAGAGAAATAAAGTTGTTTTCGTACATTCGTAGCTTTTCTACGCGTTTCGATTGAAATTTGAATTGTTGGATCACTTTTACATTCAACAAAATGTCAACCAAGTATTTCCCGAGTAAATCTGCCTCGAATAATATTACGCCGCATCGGGGCCATAGAGTCGTTACTGCAGCGCGTGTAGAGCCGAACGGAGTTAAACAGGAAAGAAGAAGGAGAGAATGGCAGAGCATACGTGTAGCGGGTACACACAGGACGAGAACGATATGGGAGCGCGCGGAGGGAGATATTTTATTAAAATCCGTTTTAATGCCATTGGATTGGGATGAGTTATTGTTATTATCCGGGGATGATGCAGTTAATGCGCAGCCTGCGAGCCCACCACCGGCGAAACGGCCGATGCCCGCTACCAAACCCCTCTCCCACTCTCACTCTTTCGGAGAGATAAAAAAAAATTTTTTTTTTAGCTCTAAAGTGACCGCCCCACGGTGTAGGATACCTATTTATCGCTGTACACGGTGCCGCTGTTTGCTGCCCGATAAACGCAACAATCGCAACGTTGACTCTTGTGATTTCACACGCTTGGCGATAATCGGCACGATTGGTATTTTTTTTTTTTTTTTTTTTTTTTAATCATCTCCCCCTCATCGGCAGCGATGAATTATGGAACCAGCATGCAGAGGACTGTTTATCGCGCCAATAACGAGGAATCTTTTTTTTTAATTTGAAGTGTTTATGCGCAAAAATAGAAACCTCGTATGGAAGTAACATCAAGACCCCAATTGCTATTTAAACGAGAAATAAACAGCAAACATTTTCGTTTGCGGTGAAGAGCAGCACAGCACAAGCAGTCTTTCGCTCAAATTAAAAGTATACATGCAAACAAAAACACCAAAGCAGCAGCCTCTGCACAGGATCCCAAGGTGGGCCCTGTTATTATGGGTATACCCAAGAGCACGGTTGCTCCGCTCTACCCGTATACCCATTACCTTAGAGTCCACCATAATTACAGCCCAACTAAATCAAGAGCTCGGAATCCGGAGGGGCTGAATTTAATACGTAAATGTATACACGGCGCACGAGAACCACACTATATAGGTGTACGTATAATCCAGTGCACACAACACCTACTCGAGATAAAAAAATCAAAGAAAAAGCAAGAGTTTGTTCGGCCGCTTTTGGAGCGCGTACAGATGAATTGATCGAACGAGTGATCCTTTCTTTTTTTTTCGTACTCCGGGGCGTGCGATGTAAAAGGCTAAAAGTTGGAAGTATAATAGAAGTAAGAGGAAGGAGCGACAGCTATATATAGTCGGAAAAGAAAAACCTCTGATGAATTTTTTGGCTTCTTCGGGCGGGGGACGAGTCGTCACATCGCCGTACGTCAAGAACAGACATTACACCCATCAGAGCTCACACCGACGCAGCGAACGAGCCGTGTGTGTTGTCCCGGTGACGCGGCTGATATCACTGCGATTTCGACGCTCCGTGATTTGTGGGGCTCTTCAGTGGCAGGGGTTTCCATCGTTCGATCGACGCTTTTTGCTCTGCACGGCTGATTGCCTCTTTTGATTTTTACTCTCGCGTTTATGACAATCAAGCCACTGTTACGAACTCGATCGATAACAATGATAAATTGGAGCAACCTCCGGTTGGCTAACTATATTGAATACCCGTACACCGATGCGTCCGACCAAAATCGAGTGTTACTACTTGCTCGACTAATACCTATACTTGCAAGACAGATAAAAATGATGGGATGTATTTTTTTCTCGCCCACAAATACAACTAATTGATTTCTTGTCTGAAAACCGTACAGTCTTTAAACCGATCGTTCAAAAATTTTACAATTTTCTGAAAAAAAAAAAAAAAAAAAAAATACTAACTAATGTCTTGAAGCTCGGAGGCTAAGGAGCCACGCGGATATCTAACCAGGCACGATATGACGAGCTCGTTAGATTAATAGTCGAGGAGAGGTACATGTTGACAATTAAACGTCAAACAGCAGATCAGCCGCGTGGATTATTCGACGGCGCGCGTACACACAGGATATGGATATATACCAATAGAGAGGTACAAACGTACGTGAGAGTAGATTACTTACTTATATGCAAGAGATATGTATAGTTGGAGCAGCGGCATAAGCGAGACAAAATTGATAGCTCCCGTGCACGCGTGTAGAGATACCGACTCGGCTCTCTCTCTCTCTGGCAAAAACGGGCGAGCCGGTGCATGAGAGTAAGGAAAAAATACTCCTGGATATCATCCCGGAATCCTTGCCACGGCCGTGATAGTACCCGAGCGCTTCCTCGTCGTCTCGCGAACCGTAAGATAACGATACTATTATCTCTCTCTGCGCGTGCTCTTCTGTGCCATGTGTACATATATGTATATATTGCGCGTGTACGGCTCCAGTCGTGCAGTACACTTAACTACCCGGGCCTCGGGTTAAACCGAGCCGAGTGAAAAAAAAAAATCCCTTCTTCGCGACGATATGCGCGCATAGGTGGAATATATACACGAGAGACTCCACGGCGCTACTTGTGCGTCCACGTTGTACAGAGGAAATCGTTCGTGTAACAAAGATATGATTTTGCTCGAATAGCGTACGGTTACAAAAAAATTGGTACGGGACGAAATGTTTATACGGAGGAGGGAGAAGAACAAGGGTAAAAAACATTGTAAATATTCAAGTGCTCCGGAACGAGCATTTTTTTTTTTTTTTTTTAGTTTTTGCGTGGATACGCGACGCGTATATCCATAGGTAAATCCAGGACGATGGGTGGGATCCAAAGTTTTTTAAAAGGGGGGATCGGAGGCGGGAAAAAGAAGCACGAGGACACGGAGACGCGGGTATTTCACGCACGGGACGATTCCCGCTCTCGAGATTATGGTAACGAGTCGGCCTATGATATGCCACTACTATCGCATCCGCGATCCTTCCCCAAGCCCCGCATATCCGTAATATACTCTCGTCGATGGAGTTTGCATAGGTAAACTAACGGCAAGTCGCGGAGATAGGTAGGTATATATCTAGGGGGAGCGCCGTCTATCATATTTTTCCAGTCGCTCCTCTCGCAAGTTTCGCCCAAGACAAAGAGAGAGAGAGAGAGAGAGAAAGAGAAGGGCACTGCGCACACACACGCGCTGAAAGTTTACCGAAAACATTGGCTCGCTGCGTCCCCGGCAAGTTCCTTCGGTAGATAGTTGATTCCTCCGCGTGCAACTCACACACGGGCCGGCCCGATTGCGCTGTGTATACCTACAAACGACGCGCGTCCCCCTCCATCTACCGTGGGGTCGAATATCTGAAATCAAAGCCCGCGTATCTCAGGGCCGAGTCTTGCGCGAGTCGACGCAATTACGCGCACTTTTCTTTCACTCCCCCTAACTTTTTCATCCCCTCGCGGAGCCGACACTAGCCCCCCCCCTTTTTTTTTAAATTAGATCCTGATCTCTATGTATACGACTGCACGTAAAAGAGAACACTCGCTCTCCCTTTCGGGGAACCGTGGTTTTTTGGACTTGCGGTAATTCATGAGAGAGATTTCTCTTTTCATTCCTCGTCGCAATTGTCGGGGAAAGAAGCGAGAGGCTCTATTGCCGTGATACCTTCATCATATGTATATGTATACGTATACATAATATGTACCGTAAAGTATAGTCGCGGTGAAAATCAGTGGTATAACTTATACATGTACCTGCGAATGAACTAAAAAACCGAGGTAGGTACTTTTGGCTGGAAAAAGGGAAAAGCAGGACTTATTCTCAATTACTTGTGGGGTGGTCGCCCCGCGTTTTCTATCTTACAGGTATTATGTAGCCCCAATTGTGGGCGCGCGGTGCTCGCGAGGTCGTCCTTCCGTCTAGTACGAAGAGGAGTAGAAAAGGAACGGATTCAGCTCGAGAGGAGCGGCTCATCAGAATCTCGTGCCACGGAATAAAGTAGAGGAAAGCGTAAAATAGGGGGAGAGGGAGGGAGGGAAAAAAGAAGGGCCGCGGTGACGGCTCTTAGCGGCTCAAAGTGGCTTACGGCGTGTTCGCGGCAGTCGAATAAAGAATTAAATGCAAAATTAGAATTCCCTCGGGCGAAACGGCTATACCCTTCTTCCTCTTTTCTATTCGCACGACCACTGGTATCATGATGATGATAATAATAATAATAATAATAATAATAATAATAATACCTACCCCCTTGAGCTGCTACGTATAGAGAGGGATGCGCGCGCAAATGCTCGACTCTCTCTCTTGTGCCGGATTACGACTCAAGAATTTTTCCATTTATCGCTCCTCTTGCACGAGCGCTCGCGAAAAATTCAAACTCACCCCCCTCTCCCCTCTGCAGCTTCCTGTCGCTCTTCCGCTCTTTCGAGCTGAGCTATCGCGTAGGTGGGTATTATTCATCGATGCGGACGCAACTATACGCGGGAGACACGCTTTCATCGAAAAATATGTCCTTTTTTTTCTACATGATCTACGCGCCCCTCTGTTCTTGACGTTTGTATACGTGTACATGTGGGTCGAATCGCATATTATACAGAACCCACATAGGTACAAATATTAATATAATTTATCGGGGTTCCGAGTGCGGGCACCCGAATGTACACGCATACTTTATATTACGAGTCCTAATGATGTATGGATACGATACTCGCGTGTGTACCTAAGCGGCCTTCACGACAATTGTGGATGATGTGAGATTGGCTTTCGTTCTCGTGCGTATATATACGTGCGCTTTTCTCGTGTCCGCAGGTCAAATAATGCCGGAGATTATGCCGGAATTCTTGGCGCCGCTGGAGAACCACACGGTCGTTCAGGGCCGCGACGCGTCCTTTACCTGCGTCGTCAATCATCTCCAGTCCTACAAGGTAAATGATTAATCGATTTCCTCATACGTTACATTACATATTATACATGTATTAATACTTCGCTTGTTATATCATCATGCCTTTATTACGTCATACGTGACGTTTGTAATACGTCGTATGTCGAGACGAGGTTTATTGTGCTCAAGTAGGTATAATATGTATACGCATCAACGAGATCAAATGTTGGAATTTAATGAAAACGACGCACGTAAACATATTATGGGAATCGTTATACGCTAAACTATAACAATATTTGATGTATACTTTGGGAATGAAATAGTATTCGTGAAGGAGCACGTAATTCTTTTTCAACAGATTTTAGTGTGTACAAGAATATGCCATTTAATCTCGAGATGAAAGTAGAGTTTTTTTATAAAATCCTGTGGGTACCTTGTTTTTTTAATAGCTTGATCATCTGATGAAAAAATTAGTGGTAAATTGAGAAAAACTGTGATGATTATTTGGAATTCTAAATTTTATCCACAAAAGTTTTTTTCAAAATTTTTTTTTTCCGGTTACAGACCTAAATTTAATATTTAATTTTTGGCCCACGATTTATACGGAAAAAAATGGACTCGATCGAAATTTTTTCTAAAAAATGATATTTTCGTAATTGTTACTTGAAAAGTTTGATTTTTATGGTTCGAGGGTTATAGTACACTTACGTACAAAAAACTTCATGGATTATTGATACGAGCCGTTATGTGTAAAAAAACTACGTCATTCCAACATATAGTCGACTCAGTAAATATAGTAGTCATCGGTATTCTTTTAAAGGAAACATTGAAATACTCATCATATTACCATATTCTTTGGAACAAAATTAGGAGAGAACGAGCCAACACTAGTCTTTAAAATCAACAATTTTGGAGTAAAAAATTCGTAAGGTCGAATATTAAAGAAAATTAATCACACCTACCGATTATCACAGATCGGATTTCATTTGAAGTACAAAATAACTATAAGAAATGCTAACGAAAAACAAACTGGTAAAAATCAAAAGCACATAGTTCCAAGCATTGAAAATTTCTATAGAACAGCCAACCCATGAAAAAAATTGTTGCAATGTCTTTTTGAATATTTCAACATATCAACGATAAAAAAAAAATAAAAAAAATTTTAAAAAACTACGTTTCAAGGTGGCCTGGCTCAAGTCGGACTCGCGCGCCATCCTGGCGATACACACGCACATGGTGGCCCCCAACCCGCGACTGTCCGTAACCCACAACGGCCACAACACCTGGATGCTCCACATATCCAACGTCCAGAAGAATGACTCGGGCACCTACATGTGCCAGGTCAACACGGACCCGATGCTCAGTCAAGTGAGTACTACTCATGTAACATATTTATGTTTCCATAGAACAGAATATTCCGCTCAACTTTTTATTTTTGTACGGAGGCGCACACTACCCCGTCATGGAAATTTGTATAAAAAAAAGTAATGCAAACTCTGGCGCAACGGAATATATACAAAACACAGCCGCGTAACCCAACACGCGAATAAACACGGATGCACCTGTTACCTGCTTCTCTCTTGTAATGATATTCTTTGGTTGTTTATCTACGTTTCGGGTGGCGCTTTTTCCGAAAGATGGGCAACATGAGCGTCATGATACCACCGGATATCGTGGACGACACGTCGGAGGGCCTGGTGGCGCACGAGGAGGGTAATATCAAGTTACGCTGCGAGGCGACTGGCTGGCCCCAGCCAAATGTCACGTGGAAACGCGAGGACGGCCGGCCCATCGTTTTGCGCGAGAATGGCCAGAAAAAACGTAAGTTGCCCTTTTTTATCGTTTATTTTTAATGCATGCGAAGAGTCGTATTGTAGTGGGCGCACGAAATACGATTTTTTTTCTTTTCTTTTTCTGTATACGCAAACGGTGAGCGCAAAATACACTAAAAGCAACATTTGCCGTGGAAGCTTTCATCATCGTTTCAATTATTATTATTATCCTCATCGGTATCGGCTTTTTCTTCAACTCTGATCACCACGCGCTCAATGATTTTGACGAAATTTATTGCGAGTGAATTGACTACTGGTGTGAGATTTTATACTCAGAGATTTTCTACTATGTGGGCAGTAATAGTATATTGAAGCTTTTATTATTAAACTGGTGTACTGATAATAAAATGGAGCGAGTGAAAACTACGTGGAATTTTGAACCCAGAGCATACGTAGCTAAATATATTATTATAGTTATATATAACTGAGTCACCAATGAGCCATGACTTGATAAAATCGGTAAAATCACGGTTGACGTAAATGCGTAAATGCATTGGTTTAGGACAGGCGAGCGTGCATGCGCGGGTTAGGGCGTCTATATATGAAACGATAATACGATGTGTTGCAGTGCTGACGAGGTACGAGGGCGAGACGCTGGAGCTGAGCGGCGTGCTGCGGCAAGAAATGGGCACTTACCTCTGCATCGCTTCCAACTCCATACCCCCGAGCGTCAGCAAGCGCTACGCCGTTATCGTCCAATGTGAGTCTCCCACACCATCCCCCTGATGTGCCTATACAGTACAACTTATTATGCAACAACTACCATGTGTATATATGGACACACAGTACACATTATACAGGGTATCTGTGTACGCTCACCCCTGGCTACGGCTTCGTATTTCTTTCATGTACAACCATTCTGCTATTGTTCGTTCGCGGACTCGATCGGTTTTTCCCTCTTTTTTTTTTTTTTTTTTTTTTTCTTTCACGTCAGGTTTACAAAGGGCATGCAGCTCGTCCTTTTTTTCCTATACCGTTGGCAAAAAAGCGCAACTGTTTTGTTTAAGATGCCAACAAATGGTGAAGACAAAAATATTTCTTCAACAATCTTGCTCTTGGAAATATTTTCATTTAATCACCCGACACCAGCACATCAAGCTAATAAAACGTCTTGAACCCGATGAAAAGTTTAAAATATACATAAAACCACACCCACGTACATTTTGTAGAATAACATGTATTATCTACTTGCATGTTCAACATTACCCTACGTACATTGGTTATTTTTTCCTCACTCCGATGGGAAGATTTTTTGTTTTCGTCTCGTAAATCCATGAAATTGAGTGTCAGTCGATAAAGATCAAATAAAAGTATTGCAGTACCCCCTCTGGAACTACAGTGACGTCCGATGTATCGGTCGTTTTATCCCGAGACAATAACCGTTCGCTCGTATACCTCTTTCAGTCCAACCCTCGGTAAAAGTAACGACGCACGTAGTCCTGGCTCCAGTGACCAAGGACGTCGTGCTACAGTGCACCGTCGAAGCTTCGCCCCAAGCGATGAACACGTGGTACAAGGTCATAGGTAGGAACAAAATCCTACTTTCGATTGATCAGCGGATAAAAGAGCTTTGAACTCGATCGTCATTTTTTTTTCTGCCCAACAGGTGACAAGCTACTGCCCAACGACAAGTACGCGATGGCCGAGCGACAGCTCAACGACTACTCCTGGGAGATGAATCTGACGATACGAGCCCTCGAGCCGGCCGACTTTGTCAGCTACATCTGCTCGTCGGAAAACGCGCTCGGCCGAGCTGAGGGCGCCGTTCGGCTGCAAGGTGATGTACAAATTGTGTCCCCATCATGTACTTTGACGGCAAATAACTGTTTGCCTCGTTGAACAATTTTACCAGCATTATTATTTTTTTTTTTTTTTTTCGCGCTGAAAACAATAAATATATATCTCAAACGTCCAGGTGCAGAATTTTCATGAAAAAAAAGATGATAAGATGCTCAGGGGGAGGGCTTGAAAAAAAAAAAAAAAAAAAAAAAATTGTCCGCAGAGTTCCGAGACCTGTCTCCAACGACGACCCCGGTGACGCAGTCGCGGCCAAACGACCTGAGGCCCGGGCGCAAGAAGCCGAGCAGTCGGAACCGCACCAAGAACAGGTACCACGGGGAGCCCGGCTCCTCGGAGCTCCACGAGACCCTGGGCGCGAACGAGCTCGGCCACGGCCAGCAGCAGACCAGCCAAGCCGGGCAGTCGGGAGGTGGCACGCGGGGTCAGCAGCAGCAGCGCACCGAGAGGCCCTACCCCCAGCAGCCCTCGGTCCCGACTACCTGGCCGGACGACAGTGCCGGGGGGGTCACGGCTCGGGTCCACGTGTCGCTGCTCGTCGCCTCGTGCGCAGCCGCGATTTTCGCCATCAGGAGGGACGCGCGCTAGGACTACTTTTCGCGTACGCCAAACAACCCTTTTATGTATATTATATTCACACCATATCAGTACCCTTTTTTTTTTTCTAATTTTTCGTCGGGCCACAGTGTCTAGCAAAGAGCGGGCGTGTAAATAATTATTTTACGACCGGCAAGTGATGCGGAGACGTGCGACCTACAGGTATATATAATTTATACGTGTTTAAAGGCGAGGGGTAAATGTCACAAGACTATATATGTTATATATATATATATATATATATACTGTCCTCGCGAGGTAGCTGTTGTTTTACTTCATCGGGTTTACTTCCGTGTTATGGCTGCTGGTCGCGAACGAAATATATACATGGGTGTACGGATATACATATATTTTAGGTAGTAGGCGTCAGACGCGCGTGAAGCAAAAATCGTCAAAGTGTCGCGAAACGGGTCTTCCTCTACATTTATAAGGCGAGTCGCGAGGGGGAATCACTTATGCATAAACATATAATATGTATACATACATACATATATATGGAATGAACGTTTATCCCCTTGTTACATTGTGTATAGGTACGTACCGTTGGGTCATGGCGCGCGTGCGAGTATATAACACGTGTATAATAATAATATCGTGCGCGACGCCGTGCTCTCGTACCTATATACATGCAATATATTAATTATACCGATTGTTCGTTCGATTGTTATTATATATACGAGTGTAAATACAATGATATGGAATATAACAACGAGTAGATATGTTATATATACCCATCGCTTGATTATAACGAAGGTGGCTATATTATGTATGTTGCCGTTGACGCATAAAATATGTGTATGACGAAATGTTGGGCTAGTACGTATGAGTTTGTTGTACTGATAAGTATAATATTAAAGGCGAGCATGAAAATTCAGTGAAGGAGGCTATTGGAGTAATGTGAAAATGAAAAAAAAAAAAAAAAAAAAAAAAAAAAAAAAAAAAAAAAAAAAAAAAAAAAAAAANTAGTACAAGCCGTCCTCTCACCGACTATTAATTTAATTATTAAATAAATGTCGTAGGTAATAAAATCAGATTGGAAAATATTATATGGTTTTACTTTGAAAAATTATATCTACCAACAAAACGTATAAGTCAATATCTTTTAAATCAATCAATCGTTTAATAGTTGCCAGTAGAAATATATATATATTTTTTTTTTTTTTAATAAATAAGAGTAAAAAATGAGATATTGAACATATAACTAAGAACAACAATGCACCCAGCCATAGAAGAATGGCATGTAAGGTGTAAATATATTTCTTTTGAATTTAAATTAAATTTTACCGCGTAAGTAGAGCCAATCACGAATAAAATATTTCAGTTGGCCAGCATGTTTAGCTCCCTCCTCAAGCTCATATGCTAGAGCTCATAACTTGTCTGGCCGTCTGGCGTGATTACTGATTTCTGCCAGTTCTTGTTGATTGCTTGTCCGTGTGCGTTGTACTTATACAAGAGACGCACTCTTAAAGTTTAGCTGTCATGATGGCGACGCCGCAAAAGGTGGGGTTAGTTTTCGGCAAATTTATTTTAACTATCATAATATTAATACTTGATTCGATCCAATCAAACGTTTAACATATTAATTATTTTTGTTTCAGAAACAAAAGCCACAGATCCAATCTGTTCAGGTTTTTGGACGTAAGGTAGGTTTTTTTTGGTGTTAATTTTTTTGGCCGAGGTTCTGACAACTTGACCATGCGTGCATGATATATTTTTGTTGATTGGAAATATAATATTTTTATGCGACCAGTGTTTAAGTACCTTAAGATTATATGATTTCATTGCGGTGTATCGCATATTGTGATCAATATACGATATACATATATTGGCTATCAGTAATTGTATTACGCAAAAATATCAAATATATCAATTTCAAATTTTAAAAAGTGTATTTGGTCGAGCCTAATAATTATTCAAAAAATAAATTGCAGCTAATTATTGACATATAAAATTTTAATTTACGAATGATTACCTTAAAGGCAATAAGAATGAGTGGAACGATACAAGTGTTATGTTATACGGAATTAAGCTGAATCTGAGATCATCTGTGAAGCGGAAGAGGTACATACGTGTACTATGTATAATACTATTAACTTCAGACAATAAAATGTTATTATGGATGTTATTCATTATTATAGTACAATTTATTCACAGCTTACCCATATTATGTTTATTTACACAGATAATAGCATCACGTTTTGACCATACGTTTGTGATTTTTTAACCGTTTGAGATTTAATTCTTGTTCGCTAGTTAGGGCAGATTTCAAATTCTCCAAATGGCTCTGGTAATCGACAGTCTTGGCAAATTCTTCCAAATCTAGCATCTCTACGGTAGGTACCGTTTTACCGACTTTGCTCAGCATTTTACCAAAAAGAGCAGTTTGATTTGATAGAAGCAAAGATATGGCTGTGCCTGGAATGCCACCTCTGCCCGTTCGACCAGCTCTGTGAATGTATCCTTTCACGTGCTTTGGAAAATCATATGAAATGACGAACTTTATTTCAGGAATATCCAATCCTCGGGCTAATGCATCTGAACTGATAAGTCTAAAAATAAAAGCAAAAAAATATAATTTGTATTTTAAAGATGTATAAACATTATTTGGAATTTGTTATGTATATTTACATTTTCACTGTCCCTTGGGTAAACTTTTCAAGTGTCTCTTCTCGTTGCTTGGAACTCAACTGCGCCGAAAGTTCACCAACAACTACATCCTTACTTTTAATCAAAGATTGCAAAAGTATTGCCAGTCTATGGGCAGCTTCACCCGAATTCGTAAAGACCAAAGTTTTATCAACTTTTTCACTTTCTGTTAAGAGTTTGAAAAGCGCAAGTGGCTTGTACTGAAGTGTGCACTCGACAACTCGCTCAGTTAATTCACTTGGATTTCCATAACGGCTGGTAAAGTTATTTAAATTTTTGTCGAGATTCAAGTCCCTGTCAAGCTTCTCAAGATCGACGACCGCCGATGTAAACAGTATAGGTCTGAATAAGCCTAACCTGCTTAATTTTTCAGGATCTTGCGATAAAGTTGCACTCAGAAGTATTTTCTGTGCTGGAGTGTTCAAACTAACAAAATTTAGGAAGTAATTCAAGTTAACGTTGTCAAGTGTAAGTTTTAATAATTAAAAATAATTTAATACCAAGAGCGAATATTTCCTAATGTAAGAGGCGGAGCTTTGGAGTGTGGAAACGGTATGTACTGCAGCCAGTCTGTAGTGCGATCCGCTTCATCGATGACTAAAAACCTAAGGGCCGATAGGGAGAATCCATCAGTCTTCCTGATATGATCTACCAAGCGTCCAGGTGTGGCAATGACTATGTCAACCAAACTGGTGAAATTTCCATTTTCAGCTAAAAAAAAATTCACTTTATTCATGTAAGAACAAAAAACCAAAAGTAACAACAAAAGTATTTACTTTTTTTGACAAGTTTTTGTTGTTCTTCTTTGAATGATGAAGCACCAGAAATTAATGCCACTTTCAGTGATGTGCTACTGGAATACTTTTGTACAACTTTATAAACTTGAGTAGCAAGTTCTTGAACAGGTAAGACTATAAGACACCTGACCATCTGAATAAAACTATTTTGAAGCAGTTGAATGATCGGAAGCACATAAGCCAAAGTCTTGCCTGTAATGTAAAAATTGAAAATTAAATTCATCAAACACAAATAAAATATGTGCAGTGATAAAAAAACATTCAAATTTTCAAAAATTCTATAGCATACCACTTCCCGTAGGCATGCACACACACGTATCTCTAACCCATCTTCCGAGTTTGTAGTCTCTATCACATTTGATAAGCCAAGACAAGACTTGTGATTGCACAGGAAATAATTTATCAATACCATCAGCCTTGAGTATGTCCACTAGCTTAGAATCTAAAAGGTCCTGCATTTCTTCTAATCTAGGACCATTGTGCAAGTCTGCAGACACTAATTCGGCATGCGTGAGCCAATGAGGCAAGACCCTCTTAACGACTTGAGTTTTGGCTTTTTTGTGACTCCCAAGAATCGTAAACTCTTGCTGATCACTCTTAGGCAGTTCTTCCGGTTTGTCCGAAACATTGTCCTCTTTGATACCTCCCTCATCCTGATCATCAATCTTCTCATTATCTGGCTCGAGTTTTCTCTTTGGAGCCTTTTTCTTTTTACTCTTTTTTTTTAAACCTTCAGCTTTTGCTTTCTCTGCCTTTCTTGCCTTGACAGCTTTCTTTTTTGCTTGTTGGGCTTCTTTCTCTGCCTTTCTTTCAGCGACTCGTTTAAGCAGTTCATTAAGATGGTTATATTGAGGGTCTACTGACTTAACCTCCTCTCCCTCGTACCTTTAAATAATAAAATTTGTTTTACCATTTAAAGTCGTCGAAAAAAAAAAAAAAAAAAGATATAACTTACCGATTTATAACAAACAAACTCATCACAAACACTGCAATATCTTGCAGAGATATTCACGTCTGAACCTTTACGAATAAAGGGCTATACTCCCGTCCAGTATAGAAAACAGAGGCATAAAGGTCTGTTCACGACATTTTTACGATTATGGATGAATTGAATGGTGGTTGATTTCAAAAGTATAGATTCATCCAAAATTTACATTATTCTTTCCGTGTACTTATAAACAATGTAAAAATTTAATAGATTAAATTAAAAAAAAAATGTACTTGTAAAATGCAAAATGGTTCTATGTTTTTAAACAACTTTTAAAGGGCCATTTTTTATTTTCTCGACAATTTGCAAAAAAATGTCAGGAATCCAAATGATCTTATGATCTATAATATCGAAAAAAATATTATTCATTGCGGTGTATCGCATATTGTGATCAATATACGATATACATATATTTGGAGCTTAATCGTGGTATTCATTATATCGCAAAAAATACAGCTCTCAAACAAATAAGGCAAACATGTAAAACAATTATTCTTGTTTATGTACCTACTGTCAAAAAAGGGGTGGTAAAAATAGCGTTTATTTAATAAACGTTAATAAAAATAATTACAATTGTTTAATGCAGGGTTAAAATTTGAAAAAAATGTATATTTCGAAATTATTTCAACATTCACGAATTTTTTACAGGAGCGGCAGTGCGTAACTTATTTTCCGTATACCGCCTAAGGTATACTTAATAATTTACGTAACATTGTACGTAACACATACATTAAATAGTACAACATGTAATTCTTTGAAATTAATTTAAACAATTTCATAATTAATTTGTTTAAGCAATTGCACTAATCGCACACAAGTGCAAGAACTTATTGTACTCTTTATGCCAATTTTCAGTTAAAGGCTCTGATTGCCTACTTTTTCCAATGCATATAAATCCGCATCTCAGGTCCTTGCCTGGGTATTTCAACTTTTTCTGTACAAAATACAGATGTACTAGGAACTCTGATATGTTTATAAAATGATATATGTTATATAAAACTGTTCACACAAAATGGCAGATTAAAAATCCAATTCTGAAATCTTGAAGATTGGATTTGGATACATTGATTTTAAAATTAAAGAAATATACAAACAGATGAAAAAATCGGATCCATTGGATTCACTGAATTTGTTGCTTTAGTGGTAAGTATAAAAAAGGAGAGTGTGTGGCCATACATTACAACACGAAAAACGAGAGACTAAGTTGCTTCAAGTTAGACAACAACCAGCTTTCGTTCTGCAACTATTTGAGTGTGAGAATAATAGTATAAACTTCTTCAAATAATATTGAAAAGCATATATCCACTATCATCCGCAGTAAGCCCTACCTTTACAAGGTCTTTTGGAACCAGTGTGTTTCATGGCAACGATTTCGTATTACATACACATTTTTACAAAAGATGTCGATTGGAGAAATGAGAATAATTTTTAACATTATATGAATTCTGAAAGAATCTTACAATTTTAGCTAAGATATTCGGTCAGCAGTATAAAATTCACTGGACTAATTAAAACCGTTATTTTTTTTCAAACATAAAATATGCAGTGTATTATGAGATTATGCGTGATAGTGATTCTATAGAACCATTAGAATCCTATTGTTTATCAAAAACAAAAATGTTTTAGTGATATTAATAAAAACAATACAGGTAATCCAGAATTCTTTCGTTTCATTGGAATGTTTTTCTCATTATCGAGCAGAACTAGTAAAAATCACACAAAAATAGTGATGTCTCTCGCATTTGTAAACAAAAACGTTTTCACCATTTCTCGTTACTCATGTAAAAACATTAGGATTCATTATGAATGGCAGCTGCGGCGCCATCCTCTCCATTACTACCCGCATTAAGCCTCTGGTCATACTTTTCTGCAAATTTAGGATCCATATGTTTGATGGATGTTACAAGCGAGTTCTTTTCCTGCTCGGACCAATTTTGGCTCCATTCGCGAAAAAGCTTGATCCTGCACTGGAAAAGACTCGGCGGTCTGTTTGAGTCTTCTTTGCCGAGATTTAGATTACTTAGCAAACCATTCACAAGACCCGAAGAGCCGCATTCCATCAATACTCCGACAAAGTCATCACGTTGCATTTCTGACCACTCGCAAAACCATTCGATAACATAGCGAATTTGGGCTTGGTTAGATAACGTCGTTGACATCTTTCATCTGAAAGAAAATTTATTTAGTCGTAAATACAGACATACACTAGGTGCATTGGGTACTTTTTTGTGAACACGTAGTTATTAAGTAAAAATTAATATGAAACATGATAAAGGGTCCAAGTTATATATATTCTTGCATGTATCAATAATGAAGCGAGGTTAGGTTATTAGTTTTTACTTTAATTCAATTGATTACTTTCTCTAAGTCACTTCAAATACAAATGTTTATTTTTTCTATACTTACAAATTGAAAAAAAAAAAAAAAAAGTTTACCAACCAGTCGTGATAGAACGTAATGTTCTTAGGTGTCGTCGGCTTTTGTTTACATTTATGGAGTCTGTGTTATATATACGGAGGACCGCGCGTACGCGAAACGGTCCGCGAAACGTAATAAAAAAACGCTAGTTAGTTAATTTGTTCATAAGAATTCACTTATACATGAAAATATGTGTCCAATACGCAAAATTGTGATCACATCATAGAGATAATATACTGGATCATATGCGTAATTGCGTACGCGAATCATATCCTACGTATTATATTAACAGAAATTTCTCGCTCAGATTGTTATAAAATAAATCATTTCGACCGACAGAAAAATTTTCGATCACAAAAGGAAACTCACGTTTGTTAATTGTTAATTGTTCTTTTATATTCAATTATTTTCAATTAATGGCATGTAGCGGTTGAAAACGGATCAAAACGGACCGTTTTGCGAATAGGTATAGTACAAGCCGTCCTCTCACCGACTATTAATTTAATTATTAAATAAANGTAATCAATCTATTTTTTTTTTTTTTTTTTTTTTATTTTTAACGCGATACCAACAGATCCAAAATGCTTGCGTTAAATCCCGTAATTCCAGCTCAAGAAGACTGTAAATAGTTATAAGTATATACATATTTAGAGCGTATGCCGTAGGTACGGAATCGAACTGCTCCGGAGGGAGAAATATTTTAGCACCGTTGAACGAGTGCCGTTGATGAAATTGTAACGTTTGTAATATTGCCGATCGGCTGCAGTTGGCGTAATCAAACGAATGCATAGATGAAAGCGAGAAAAGGTGGTATGATCGAGATATTTAAATAAACAAAAACCATGCATCCTAATTAAAAAAAAAAAAAAATCCCCTCATGTTTTATAACAGTACAGATACCATATTATATCAGATCGAGAGAAAAAATGGTGCACAGCTGATGATAGAAAAATCGGAATTGTATAACACACTAAAAAAAAGGCATCATAAACTTGGCAAAACGAAAAGTAATAACAACAACAACAACAACAACAACGACGATCGCAATAACGGGAGTTTGTTTGCCTTAAGCGCTGGGATCTCGCGCAAAACCGCTCAAGCCCGGGTAAAAAGGAAAAGTTTAATTACAAGCTGCACGGCCGCGGGGGGGAAAAAGGAGAGGCAAATTAACTCGGGAGCATCCCGGCTTATATACACGCTCCGGGGGGCGGTTGTACCGGGGCCACGTATATACGCGCGATATTTCACACGCGGAGGGTGAGAGTTTAATCGCCGTACATTTATACACAAGAGCGGGTCAGATTTTTCCCTCCCAGATCTCCTTCCCCCGAGTTCGCACCCGTCCTCCTCCTCCCCATCTGCTACACGGATTACGGCCGCGCGGGCGATGTTAATTAAGCCACGACGGCGGTCAGCGGGACCGTGTCCGCGCCACATCGACCGAGGAGCTGTGTGTATGCGTCGACCCGCCACGAGCTGCTTGATAATACATGGGAGGGCCGTGGCCGCAGACTTGAGCGATCGAGGCGGGACTACGGAGTGCATTAAGTGCTGCACCACCTGAGAAATGTCTTATCTTAATTTAAATGGAGCGACCGGGTCTGGGTAAGTGTGTGTGTGTGTACCTGCACTCGCTCTCTTCGATGTCGGGCCAACGGTTTGCGAAATTAAATCAAGCTTTTTTTTGCAATTTTAACGCGAGACCAAAGTTTTTTTTTCTTTTTTCTCTTTGCGTCGCGAGAATATTATACGTCGACATATCGCTCAACCGTTGTGTGTCAAACGGAAAGAGTACTAACATTGGAAAAACAACGCACAACCCCTCATTTGCTTGGGAAAGCATGGCATCACTTTTCTTTTTTTTTTTTTTTTGGTTGGATATCATTATGAGCTTGGAAATGCCCCGTTTCCTTTACCTGTAATATCAAACATGTATAAATAAAAACATAAAAATTAATTGTCAAAGGGATATTATGGCGAGGAGTACCGTGCGAAGATAAATAACTCACGAGGTGCTTTAATCATTAATTAGCGTGTATAGTGTGTGATGGAATAATTTTCGCCTGTCCATGTGCAGCGCGATAAATCATGACAATAATAAAATACTTGTATCGTATTAAACACATTTAGTAAATTTGACAGCATTGGTCAAACGTATACATATATATTATGTACATAAGTATACAGCATAGTAAATAGAGTGTGAGGGAAAAATTCAATGTTTTTCAAACGAAAATGAAACGCAACTACTTATCGTCGAAAGCCCGAATTTTAAAGTGCATATCCCCCGACTCGTGCTCTCCCCGCGTAAATTGCTTCGTAACTACAATCAAATACGATTATGGATCTTTTTTTCTTTTTTTTTTTTTTTTCGTCACAAATTCTGTACGGGTATTCCATCCGTTATAATTGAAACGAAGCAAAACAGGCGTACCAGCCCAAAGCGAAGCCCAAAAACCGAGAATCAAGCACGAGTTTTTTTTTTTCGCGTGAAATTACGTGTATCTCTTTACGAGCCTTCATATTTGTACAGGCGAGCGAAAATGAGTTAGTTTTCTCTGTTTGGTGTAATGTGTGATGCGCGATCGGTGCGTTTGTTCTTTAAAATGAACGAAATCAAACGAAAAGTTAATCGGATGCGTGGCAGTATAAAATTGACTTTCAGTTTAAATGATATAAAGTTTTGCAGAGCGCCACTATAATTCAAAGGAAATCCATTTGTTTATTTATTTCGCAGCTGTTGGCAAATGTTGATTTTATCGCGTGGGCGATATTCCACGTGATAAGTAAATAAATTTTTATCCACGCGTGTGTGTTTGTACAAAATTGATACTGGTTCGATAAATGTGAATATATTAGCATAACAGGTAGCCGTGAAGTTTTATTTTTATCAATAAAATTCGCAAAGCACAAATTTCGTGTACAATAAACCTTTGACGAAACGCGTTTTGCAAACGTTCAACAAAATAAATATCATTCGTTTATAGGTTCAAAAACATTTGTATCCATCGCATGTGAATAAAGGAATGTGTGAGCTTTACATTTATTTTTTCCTTTCTTTAAAGTGTATAGCGGTTATTTCGCGTGAATTTGAATGTTATGATCAAAATGTTGTTTGAAAAATGATGAATACGTATATTTTTTAATTGTAAAACGTAAAAAATTTCTTGACCAAAAAAAGCAATTTACATGCTAAATACTGCCAAAGAATTTATAAATCACTTGTTTAAACTGAAAGTCAATAGAGGCTTTCAATGTTTGTTGAATTTTAAAAGCTAGCGATTTTTGTACCAAAGATTCGAACACTGTAAAAATTCGTAAATTCTGGGTTAGTATGATACTTTGTTAATTGAATGATTTTTTGTAAATACGTGTGCAAAGTTCAAAGGTTCGAAAAATTTACATTATGAGGGTTGAAACATAAATATATTATGTACTAGAGCCGTTTGATTGGAAAAACAATGTTTAACTTAACTAAATTATATTATAACTTACTTAATAAAGTTAATTTTTTTGGATGAGTGGATACTCGATACAACGAATAAGTATAACAGCACTGAGTGGCTCTCAGTAATTGTATTACGCAAAAATATCAAATATATCAATTTCAAATTTTAAAAAGTGTATTTGGTCGAGCCTAATAATTATTCAAAAAATAAATTGCAGCTAATTATTGACATATAAAATTTTAATTTACGAATGATTACCTTAAAGGCAATAAGAATGAGTGGAACGATACAAGTGTTATGTTATACGGAATTAAGCTGAATCTGAGATCATCTGTGAAGCGGAAGAGGTACATACGTGTACTATGTATAATACTATTAACTTCAGACAATAAAATGTTATTATGGATGTTATTCATTATTATAGTACAATTTATTCACAGCTTACCCATATTATGTTTATTTACACAGATAATAGCATCACGTTTTGACCATACGTTTGTGATTTTTTAACCGTTTGAGATTTAATTCTTGTTCGCTAGTTAGGGCAGATTTCAAATTCTCCAAATGGCTCTGGTAATCGACAGTCTTGGCAAATTCTTCCAAATCTAGCATCTCTACGGTAGGTACCGTTTTACCGACTTTGCTCAGCATTTTACCAAAAAGAGCAGTTTGATTTGATAGAAGCAAAGATATGGCTGTGCCTGGAATGCCACCTCTGCCCGTTCGACCAGCTCTGTGAATGTATCCTTTCACGTGCTTTGGAAAATCATATGAAATGACGAACTTTATTTCAGGAATATCCAATCCTCGGGCTAATGCATCTGAACTGATAAGTCTAAAAATAAAAGCAAAAAAATATAATTTGTATTTTAAAGATGTATAAACATTATTTGGAATTTGTTATGTATATTTACATTTTCACTGTCCCTTGGGTAAACTTTTCAAGTGTCTCTTCTCGTTGCTTGGAACTCAACTGCGCCGAAAGTTCACCAACAACTACATCCTTACTTTTAATCAAAGATTGCAAAAGTATTGCCAGTCTATGGGCAGCTTCACCCGAATTCGTAAAGACCAAAGTTTTATCAACTTTTTCACTTTCTGTTAAGAGTTTGAAAAGCGCAAGTGGCTTGTACTGAAGTGTGCACTCGACAACTCGCTCAGTTAATTCACTTGGATTTCCATAACGGCTGGTAAAGTTATTTAAATTTTTGTCGAGATTCAAGTCCCTGTCAAGCTTCTCAAGATCGACGACCGCCGATGTAAACAGTATAGGTCTGAATAAGCCTAACCTGCTTAATTTTTCAGGATCTTGCGATAAAGTTGCACTCAGAAGTATTTTCTGTGCTGGAGTGTTCAAACTAACAAAATTTAGGAAGTAATTCAAGTTAACGTTGTCAAGTGTAAGTTTTAATAATTAAAAATAATTTAATACCAAGAGCGAATATTTCCTAATGTAAGAGGCGGAGCTTTGGAGTGTGGAAACGGTATGTACTGCAGCCAGTCTGTAGTGCGATCCGCTTCATCGATGACTAAAAACCTAAGGGCCGATAGGGAGAATCCATCAGTCTTCCTGATATGATCTACCAAGCGTCCAGGTGTGGCAATGACTATGTCAACCAAACTGGTGAAATTTCCATTTTCAGCTAAAAAAAAATTCACTTTATTCATGTAAGAACAAAAAACCAAAAGTAACAACAAAAGTATTTACTTTTTTTGACAAGTTTTTGTTGTTCTTCTTTGAATGATGAAGCACCAGAAATTAATGCCACTTTCAGTGATGTGCTACTGGAATACTTTTGTACAACTTTATAAACTTGAGTAGCAAGTTCTTGAACAGGTAAGACTATAAGACACCTGACCATCTGAATAAAACTATTTTGAAGCAGTTGAATGATCGGAAGCACATAAGCCAAAGTCTTGCCTGTAATGTAAAAATTGAAAATTAAATTCATCAAACACAAATAAAATATGTGCAGTGATAAAAAAACATTCAAATTTTCAAAAATTCTATAGCATACCACTTCCCGTAGGCATGCACACACACGTATCTCTAACCCATCTTCCGAGTTTGTAGTCTCTATCACATTTGATAAGCCAAGACAAGACTTGTGATTGCACAGGAAATAATTTATCAATACCATCAGCCTTGAGTATGTCCACTAGCTTAGAATCTAAAAGGTCCTGCATTTCTTCTAATCTAGGACCATTGTGCAAGTCTGCAGACACTAATTCGGCATGCGTGAGCCAATGAGGCAAGACCCTCTTAACGACTTGAGTTTTGGCTTTTTTGTGACTCCCAAGAATCGTAAACTCTTGCTGATCACTCTTAGGCAGTTCTTCCGGTTTGTCCGAAACATTGTCCTCTTTGATACCTCCCTCATCCTGATCATCAATCTTCTCATTATCTGGCTCGAGTTTTCTCTTTGGAGCCTTTTTCTTTTTACTCTTTTTTTTTAAACCTTCAGCTTTTGCTTTCTCTGCCTTTCTTGCCTTGACAGCTTTCTTTTTTGCTTGTTGGGCTTCTTTCTCTGCCTTTCTTTCAGCGACTCGTTTAAGCAGTTCATTAAGATGGTTATATTGAGGGTCTACTGACTTAACCTCCTCTCCCTCGTACCTTTAAATAATAAAATTTGTTTTACCATTTAAAGTCGTCGAAAAAAAAAAAAAAAAAAGATATAACTTACCGATTTATAACAAACAAACTCATCACAAACACTGCAATATCTTGCAGAGATATTCACGTCTGAACCTTTACGAATAAAGGGCTATACTCCCGTCCAGTATAGAAAACAGAGGCATAAAGGTCTGTTCACGACATTTTTACGATTATGGATGAATTGAATGGTGGTTGATTTCAAAAGTATAGATTCATCCAAAATTTACATTATTCTTTCCGTGTACTTATAAACAATGTAAAAATTTAATAGATTAAATTAAAAAAAAAATGTACTTGTAAAATGCAAAATGGTTCTATGTTTTTAAACAACTTTTAAAGGGCCATTTTTTATTTTCTCGACAATTTGCAAAAAAATGTCAGGAATCCAAATGATCTTATGATCTATAATATCGAAAAAAATATTATTCATTGCGGTGTATCGCATATTGTGATCAATATACGATATACATATATTTGGAGCTTAATCGTGGTATTCATTATATCGCAAAAAATACAGCTCTCAAACAAATAAGGCAAACATGTAAAACAATTATTCTTGTTTATGTACCTACTGTCAAAAAAGGGGTGGTAAAAATAGCGTTTATTTAATAAACGTTAATAAAAATAATTACAATTGTTTAATGCAGGGTTAAAATTTGAAAAAAATGTATATTTCGAAATTATTTCAACATTCACGAATTTTTTACAGGAGCGGCAGTGCGTAACTTATTTTCCGTATACCGCCTAAGGTATACTTAATAATTTACGTAACATTGTACGTAACACATACATTAAATAGTACAACATGTAATTCTTTGAAATTAATTTAAACAATTTCATAATTAATTTGTTTAAGCAATTGCACTAATCGCACACAAGTGCAAGAACTTATTGTACTCTTTATGCCAATTTTCAGTTAAAGGCTCTGATTGCCTACTTTTTCCAATGCATATAAATCCGCATCTCAGGTCCTTGCCTGGGTATTTCAACTTTTTCTGTACAAAATACAGATGTACTAGGAACTCTGATATGTTTATAAAATGATATATGTTATATAAAACTGTTCACACAAAATGGCAGATTAAAAATCCAATTCTGAAATCTTGAAGATTGGATTTGGATACATTGATTTTAAAATTAAAGAAATATACAAACAGATGAAAAAATCGGATCCATTGGATTCACTGAATTTGTTGCTTTAGTGGTAAGTATAAAAAAGGAGAGTGTGTGGCCATACATTACAACACGAAAAACGAGAGACTAAGTTGCTTCAAGTTAGACAACAACCAGCTTTCGTTCTGCAACTATTTGAGTGTGAGAATAATAGTATAAACTTCTTCAAATAATATTGAAAAGCATATATCCACTATCATCCGCAGTAAGCCCTACCTTTACAAGGTCTTTTGGAACCAGTGTGTTTCATGGCAACGATTTCGTATTACATACACATTTTTACAAAAGATGTCGATTGGAGAAATGAGAATAATTTTTAACATTATATGAATTCTGAAAGAATCTTACAATTTTAGCTAAGATATTCGGTCAGCAGTATAAAATTCACTGGACTAATTAAAACCGTTATTTTTTTTCAAACATAAAATATGCAGTGTATTATGAGATTATGCGTGATAGTGATTCTATAGAACCATTAGAATCCTATTGTTTATCAAAAACAAAAATGTTTTAGTGATATTAATAAAAACAATACAGGTAATCCAGAATTCTTTCGTTTCATTGGAATGTTTTTCTCATTATCGAGCAGAACTAGTAAAAATCACACAAAAATAGTGATGTCTCTCGCATTTGTAAACAAAAACGTTTTCACCATTTCTCGTTACTCATGTAAAAACATTAGGATTCATTATGAATGGCAGCTGCGGCGCCATCCTCTCCATTACTACCCGCATTAAGCCTCTGGTCATACTTTTCTGCAAATTTAGGATCCATATGTTTGATGGATGTTACAAGCGAGTTCTTTTCCTGCTCGGACCAATTTTGGCTCCATTCGCGAAAAAGCTTGATCCTGCACTGGAAAAGACTCGGCGGTCTGTTTGAGTCTTCTTTGCCGAGATTTAGATTACTTAGCAAACCATTCACAAGACCCGAAGAGCCGCATTCCATCAATACTCCGACAAAGTCATCACGTTGCATTTCTGACCACTCGCAAAACCATTCGATAACATAGCGAATTTGGGCTTGGTTAGATAACGTCGTTGACATCTTTCATCTGAAAGAAAATTTATTTAGTCGTAAATACAGACATACACTAGGTGCATTGGGTACTTTTTTGTGAACACGTAGTTATTAAGTAAAAATTAATATGAAACATGATAAAGGGTCCAAGTTATATATATTCTTGCATGTATCAATAATGAAGCGAGGTTAGGTTATTAGTTTTTACTTTAATTCAATTGATTACTTTCTCTAAGTCACTTCAAATACAAATGTTTATTTTTTCTATACTTA